GATCGCACGCGACAAGACACATCATGGACTGACGCCCGTGCCGGATGCTTCCTGGGTGTAACGAAGATGGGCCTATAGCGCGAAGGGCCGGGCGTGCTCTACGTGCCTTACAAGCTGTGTATAGCACAAACAGATATATGACCCCGGTCTGGCTACATGAAGAGCTCGTTCCGTTTTCTCCGCCCTTTGTGTCCTGGCTTTAAACATCGGATAATAGAACATCCGCTGCACCGCTAAATATCAGACTAAGGAATGTCAGTTGCCATCATTAAAAATTATTAAAATACAATGTAGCCAAGCACGAGTGTTCTCAATCAAAATGAATTTAACCGCTGCGTTTAAAGACCGACCAACGAAACCATTTTCCGCAAGGTAGGAAAATGCCCCTCGCGCCCTCCTCTTTTCACCCTCTCCCAAATATCACGTGACGGCAGAGGCTTCTTTTGTGTCGGCTTTTTCTGTAGGGATAATCCTCAAAAAGCGAGAAACGAGCGGCTAGCTGCGAGCGCTACAAGGACCTTGAGACGTCCAGGTGTCTTCCCTCGTTGACGCGGGCACGCGCAATCCGCAGGATTGAGGAAGCCAGCACGACCGAACTCTTTTTCCCATGAGCTGCAGGTCCGAGGCCGCTCGGTCGGTGGAGATCGAGGGGTCGTGGTATGCTGGGTTTGTTCCAGCAGTCGCTTTCTGGCATCGCGCGGCTGCTGGAACCATTCTCGCGTCTGCACACGGATTGGCTTGCACAATAAAAGGTTCAGGTCGTCGATAATACATTTATTTCCGAAACTTATAAATCAAGTGGCTTTCCCTAATCTCTTCATTACTGTTTGAAACACATCTCCTCTCATAGGTAATTGTTCATCCCATTTTGGACTCTTTTGCGTATTTATTCCTCCTTACGTCTGCTTGATGACTGTTTTATAACTTGATAAAGACCTTTAAATATTGGCGCGGGCTTGCGCGATCAACGCTGTCCCGGATTTATTCAAAATTGGAAAGATCGGCGTCAGGAGGGGTTGAAGAAGCAAACCGTAATTTTTGCTTCTAATGAGGACGGCACAATCGTAAGATAGGTCTTTGCTTCACCTGTATCCACAACGCCCCATCGTTTGCACGATCATAATTTCTCAGTGACATAGGTGTATAGCACCTTTTACTCATGGTTACTATAGATGGGGCCCCACAGGCTTTCGCGTTATCAGCGAGTCGACTTTTTAACGACCGGCGACTCTCCTGAGTGAGAATAAATATTATCACCTTCAAACAACATCCGCCCCTTTCTCCTCCCCTTTCCCGAGTTGGGGAAATATCAGGCAACTCCGGGAAGCAGCCTGCAGACTGCGCTTTTCGGCTACTCATTCTCAACACATTCAAACATGGAAGTAAACACATCACATCAACGACGCCCTGTTTATTTGCAACCTAAATAATGTGGCTCTTCTGTTGGGACCCAATCAATTTCATCATCAATCATTATTTGTTACAACTTCATGGTGAATGTGTGTTCGTAGTGATGCCACAAAGTGGTCGATTCAAAGGGAGAAATAGGTCCTCGTATTTATTTTGCGGAAATACTCGCTCCTGTGACGCTCCAGTGCGTAAGGTCAAAGCACCCGAGGCAGTGCGTAATACTTTAAAACTGTCGTTGATGATGAAATATTTGTGGGAAGCGCGTAAAATTGTTTACACCACGAAGACATACCTAAACACTACAAAATATCGCAATTGCAAAAAAAAACAAAAAAAAAAAAAACAAAACAAAAACGATCAGCCTGCGAAAACCGTTGCTTTCTCCCTCCCCCCCCTCTCTCTCTCTCTCTTCTTTTTTCGCGCCACTACAAAAAATAGCGGCCCAGCAACGAAATTATATCAAAAACCTCGCTTCTTGGAGAAAGGACACCAGGATATATGGTTGTGAATTAAGGAGTATTTCCATTTTCCTTCCACGCGATTAGAAGGCAAGACGCTGGGGGAATTTATGTGCACTTACATGCTGCCTCTAAAAGAAAGTACCAGATTTCTAGTGCATGTCAATCTACATGTAAATTGTTTAATCAGTGTGCACAAACATTCGCGGCCTGGAGGATGACATGGAAGCATGGCGGAAAGCGGCTTGCTGGAAATAGAAGTCTCTATTGCACTGCACTGGTGTGAAACATTATTACGTATTTTTGTTTTATTTCTGTGCGAAAATATAAACAGCGTTTAGAAACCGAACACTGAGTTTTGAGGAGCGCCGAAAGGATATAAAAAACCGGGACAACCTGAACAATACGAGGCGCCCTGCGTCACTCAGCTTTTCCTAGTTTCTTGTTTTTCCGGAGCCTTTTGAAAGGGGATGAACAATTATAAACAGATTGACCCGACTTGCCACATTAGAGCAGTTCATTTTCATTACGACAGGCTCTCTTCAAGCATCTTGCATAGTTGAGCTTGTACTGGTCCGTTTTTATATTCGGTTCCTTTCAAAGTGTGAGCTCTAAGCCACTGGACCAACCTACAACATTCAAAATTTACGGAAGCGGAGAAGTGGTTGGGAGGGCTAAGCGGGCAAGGGTTGCACGCCTCTCGAACCACCGTCCGTTACATTTGCTTAGTGGCTGGGCTTTGCGAGCAGAATGCGAGCTTGCTCGAGTAACTTGGATCCGTTCAGAATATAATCCCCTCTAAACGATAATCTCCGCCGCCTGGGAGGAACGTAGGTGGGCGAACGATACGCCTCTGGGTTTTGCGTCACGCCTGCATTTCAAGGGTCAAAATTACTGGTTCCCGACACCAGCACGATTGACGGCCCCGCCTGCGTCTTTGATTGTATAGACGCTTTACACACGCGCCAAATTGAGCCGCCATAGCCGCCCTTCTCTTGTCTTACCGAGATGCCGAGCCACTGAGGCGGGCGTTGACGGGTCTTCACAAGGGCCTATGCTGGGCACAAGAACACAGTAGCATCTAAAATGGCAATAACCTGTCCTGCTGTGGTAACGATGAAGTGAAGCGAACGGAATAAGAGGGAACAAAAACTGAAGGTCAGTTATGGCGGCGCCCATGCACAGCTGCTGTAAAGCGTCGACGGCCCGCGGCCGTAGTGCGTTCTGGCTCGCGCTTTGGCGGGCGGGCAATCAGATTAA